CGTTTGGCTGCTATCATCTACACTGTATAATGAGGGCGAAGGGCGCCACATCGCCACATCGCTTCGAGCTATCGATTCGCTCGCAGGGCGCTCGGAGGGCGCTGCTCGCAGTGACAATGCTGGCGATATTTATGAGAACGATCTCATTCGCGTGTCCGGAAAAAGAGCCCCAGGGAAAGAGAGGGGGGCGCCACGCCCTCTGTGCGCGCATTGACCGTAACATGTAGACGTTGGCGTCACATGTACGTAGCGGCGTAGCGGCCGAACATGGTGGCCGGCCATGCAATATGTACACTCTAAAAAAAGTTACAGAATTTTGTATCATTTTTGATGCAGGATTTTGTATCACCTGCATTGGTTACAAATATTTGTATAAGTGATATAGAATTTTGTAACAGATGTGCCGGTTACAGAAAAATGAATCATTTTGGACCTTGATACAGAAATTTGTTACATGAAGGTTACAATATTATGTTTGTAACATAACTGATACAGAAAATTGTAACTGGATACTAAATTCTGTATCAGAGATAAAAACATAATGTTTTAACGGCAAAATTGAACAGCAGTGCCCATAGAGACAAGTTAAACTTAGAGTTTTCATGTGCTTTTATTTTTCCCGACTCTGAATAAGAGATTCAGTCTCGTTTATGCTTGGCTGGCAAGGCCTCCGTCCCTTACTGCGCGCGTCTCAGGTCACCGGCTACCTGCGCCGCTCTCTCCACGGCGTCCGCACAGCGCAGTTGGTAGCGTGGCGGGCCGCCAACCCAGAGTTTGGGGTTCGATTCCCGACTTCTCAGAGTACATTTGAGAAAGTTATTACTCGAAGAATGGCATAAGGACCTTCAATCAGACCCACGGAGACTACGTTCGAACAAAATTCTCATTTTGAAGCTTGATTTGGAAGAATAACGACTTTTTACAAATTTTGTAACCGTTACGAAATTCTGTAACCAAGTTACGAAGAAAAAAATTGTATCCATCGTGATACAAATTTCTGTAACACATGTTATTGAAAAAGCTGCGTAACCATGTTACAAAATTCTGTACTGATTTTTTTTAGAGTGTACGCGGCTACGCACTGCTACAGTGGCGCGCCATGGCGGTGTAGTGGCCGCGGGCGATCCGCGGAAATAATTAACAACCGTTTCCGTTTATTGCCGAATGCTGCTCGATTTCACCGCACTGCCCGTGCGATTACAAAGAGTCGTTTGGGCGCTCTGTCTCAGTCTGCGTCCCTGCGGGACTGCGGGGGGACGCCCCGAGTGCGGCAGAGACAGCGCTCTTCGAAGTCGGCCTGCCGCACTGTACAGACACTGTACAGTGTACGCGCACGCGCTGGGTGCACGTGTCCGCACGTGTCGGTCGCCGCGCGCCGCCGCTAGAGCTGCGCGCCGCGGCAGCGCTAGAGTAGCCGAGTGAGTGGCGCGCCACTGGCGGCGTCAGGTGGGGCGTACCATACTACTGTACCATTGAGCGGCGCAGCACCACGCAGCACCGCGCAGCAGCGCTTTGTGTCGTGGGTGTGCTTCGCCGTGTTGACCAACAAGCGATGAAGCCGCGCATCGCCGCCGTGCGACGACGCTGGTGTCAGCCTGCGGAGTCCTTTTCGCCGCTCTCTCGCACTCGTGCGGCGCCCCCGTGCGCGTGCGAGAGAGGCCGAGCGACGACGGCGACCCTCGGAACGAGTCTGCTGACACGCAACCCGCGCCGACGACGACGCCAGCGACCGCCAGGGACACCGAGACGCAGGCGATGCAGGGGCAATGCTTCCGATCGATGCGGTATCATGTTATGGCAACAAGGATAAAGGAAAAAGACTCCTGGAAACTTTTCATCCCGGCCGCGCCCTGGGCGCCCTGCCTGCGCCCTGGCCTGCCTCGCCGAGTGCACGGTGCCCGTCATTTCCGGTGTAGTGGCTCTGCTTCCCAGGCCGAAGAACGAACGGCCCAATCGCCACGGCACGGCCAGGGCACGGCAGTGAGCCCTGCTGCCGCTGTGTCCTGCCATGCACACCACAACCGCGCCGCCGGAAGGGACCCCGCACCACGCGCGCGCGCGCTCGTGTGTGTGTGTTGTGGGTGAGTGTGTGTATTGTGTGTGTGGACCGCCGGGAGGCGTGTATATAGTCTCACTCACACTTTCGTTGGCGTTATCCATTTAAACACTTACGACTCATTCGCAGCCGTGCGCGGCTGGCGCGTCGTGGCCCCACTAACCGAGCGGTTCATGGCGATGACGACGATGATTGTGGCGGTCTCGGCCGTCGTTGCCGTCGTCACATCGAGCGGCGCGTTAAAACACAGTGTATCACGGGCCCTCTTCTTTTCCTCTCTTTCTCTGGCTCCCCTCCCTGCAGCCGCGCCGCGCCACGCCGCGCCACGCTGTCAGGGCCTCTGGTCGTGGCTGCACAGAGACCAAGCAAGCCAAGTGGCGAACGTGACTGAATAGGGAGTTGCCATGGCTCCTGCCGGCACAGCCTGCGCCGCTGCGCCTTCTTCTTGGACTGCTTGCTTCTGGAATCGGCGTTTCTGCTTTTCTCCACACACACACACACACACACACGCACACACACACACACACACACACGCGCGGTCTCTCACTCTCCCCGTGCTTCGCCTCGTCTCCTTCCCCCGATCCGTCGCCGAGCAATAAAATTTATTATTTTGCAGTAAATGGGTGCATGCATACGAAAGGGGGGAGGGGGCCGTTCGTTCTGGTTCATCCATGTGGGCGGCGAGGCAGGCGAAGCAGGCAAGGCTCGGTGGTTAGGGTCGGCAGGTCGCCCAGGAGAGGGGGCAATAAGTCCGAAAGCAGTCTGGCCGCCCGTCGGGCATCTTTCGGGTCGCCTTCGGGCGTGCCCCTCGGGTATTCTCCGGGTCGCCTTCGGGTCACGGAAGGGGCCCGGAGGGGCCACAGGTTCGGGCCGAGGGGGAAGAGTGGCGGAGGGGTCGCGGCGTCAAATTCGGTGCTTGGCGACAACGTCGCCGTACTGAACGGGGTGAACGGAGATGCAAGCCAAAGGTGAGAGGCTGCTCTCTAAAGCCGCGATGACACTCTCGACACTCCTCTGGCGGTGATCAGTAGCGCCGCCGGCCGCGCCCGCCCCCGCAGCCTGGGGACCCCCACACTTCGCCTCCTCCCTCTCCTCCTCCTCCTCCTCATTCCCCTTCGCCCCGCGCGCGCCCCCACTCCTTGCCGCCGCTGCATCCAGAGCTGCAACAACTGAATTCCTCGACGGCAAGGAGCATTTCACAACGGCCAGGCCGCGACGGCCGCGGGGCGGGGTGGGGCGGGGCGCGGTGCACGGGGCGTAACCCAGATAACGACCGATATCGCCGCTTTGACACCTAGGCGTCAAAAGGGACGCGGCACGGATTGGCGAACAATTACATTTTCCACTGAGTACGTCACACTATGAGGTCGAGTACTACTCTTCCGGCGTGGCGACCCGCAAGGCCCGCACGGCGTCGGGAGCAGATGATATTGGAAACGAACTGTAGGCACAGTGAATGCCTTCCCTGTTTGGGGTGAGTGGGGGAGCGTGCGCACGGAGCGTGGTGGGGCGGCGGGCGGTGGAGGGGGTGCGCCTGCTTGCCGGGCTTGCCATGGGCTTGCCGGCTTGGGTGGAGGCCGGCCGGCCACCCTCTTGATTATCAAATAACGCCATTTATTAGGAACAAAAGCAGCCATGTCCGATTCTGCGATTGATTGGGCGACTAATGCCGGGGAAAATGGGGCCGTGTACAGCTCGCTCGGCACCACCGCCCGCCGCGGGCCGCCAGAACAGCCAGAACGCAATCGCAGTGTGTGCTTGGAACAGAACGGATTTTACGGAAGCAGCTGCTTATCTGGGCTTTGCGCTTTGCGCCATGAAGGCTGCTTTCTCCAGAGTGTAGTACCACACAGAAGATGCTGATGATGAGCCTCTCCCTTAGCCCCTCGTGATTCTGTTTCATTTTCTTTGTTTGCTCACGTATTTGCCAATGCTGAGCTTGCTTCTAACTTTTTGCTCACAAAGGTTTTCACCTTAAGGTTTGCTCACGGGCTTCGATTTTTGCATTCGATTGTTACGAAGTTGCACCCGCCTTCTAATTGAAAGCGTTCTATAAAAGCATCCTGGAGGATCTGACCGTTTGCGATCCAAGCACGGCACAAACAATCCTGAAAAATGTTGTACGTCTGTACAGTGCCGTCCCGTTATGTCGCGACCTATTTCATTGTATTTCCCGTTATTTCGACGTTATTTCACGTTACTATCCCGACTTTCGAAAAGTTATTTCACGTCTTTTCAGGGGGAACGTACAGCCAAATTTAAGTTTGTTTCCCCCTCCGACCCAAGTTTTCGGTAGGTAAGACCAAGAGGTGATCTCTAAACGTTTGTTCGAATTAAATCCGAAGTTCAATAAAGCGGCGTGCACCTGAAGCGTACTGTTAATCACGTCGATTTGTCCTCTTGTTCCAGACGCGTAATCACCCACTGGAAATGTCTTAACACGTGTTAAGATAGCGTGCGCCATCATCTGATGGTGTCGCGTGCACCGCGCCATCTGATTGGCCGCGGCTTACACATCTGATTAAAACCTTCAGCACGAACCCCGCCGTAATCCCGCCGCACTTTTCGCCTCGATATTTTCCTCGGCAGCGTGATGAGCCGCCGCGCCGAGAAGAAGAACGGAGGAGCGGCAGCGGCGGTGACCAGGACGGCGACGACAGAAGAAAGAGAGAGCATTCCAAGTTTAAAGGGCGACAAGGCGGAGCAACAGAGACGACGCGCGGGGCGGGCGGGGCGGGGCGGGGCGAGCGAGAGAGAGAGACTGTTTAGCTTAGCGGAGTGCGGTGCGGAGTGTGCCTGCCTGCCGGGCGGCCCGCCAGGCGGCCTGCCGGGCCTGCCGAGTGGGCTCGGTGCTCGCGGCCCGAAGCCTGGCCTGCCGCCACACCGCCACACCGCCGCCGCCTGCTGCCGCTGCCTCTGCCTCTGCCTCAGTGCGTCAGTGCTCGTTGAGCCGGACGGTCGCCCTCGCCTCGACTCCCGCCGAGCCGAGCCGAGTCGAGCTTCCCGAGAGCAGCGTCGAGCCGTGCCGAGCCGAGCGCGCGGAGCCGAGCCGGCGAGAGAGGGAGGAGGTGGTGGTGTCGTCGCCGCGGTGTGGCGGACGAGCGTCGCGGTGCAAGCCGTCGCCGAGGTGACGCCGATGCGCGAAGCGCGAACAGTGCCAGTGCAGTGACAACACACTTATGGGATTTACCTGCCGCCTTGGACGTCATTGACAGCTTGGATACGAACGAGTCTAAGGTGAGCGCGATGACACCTGCCGCGGGCTCCACGGCCCCACTGTAGGGCCCCGCGGCCCCGGCGCCCCACGCCGGCCTTGATCGCGGATTCGCATGTTTATTCCTTTGTAGGCGCCGCTGGCATAGTTCCCGTATGATACACATTCCTTTATGCGGGGGTGCTTTAACCCCTCCCCCTCCACTTCTGACTTCCCCCGCCGCCGCCGGTGCTCGGCGAGCCCCCGGACCCCCCCTGCCTTCGCCAGCCCCCGCTCGTTCGCTCTCGCTCTGCCCGGCATAACTCCTTTGTCCGCGCTGCTCTCTCTTTGTTTGGCGCGCCAGCTGGAGCTGGAGCCTATGGCTGGAGCCTATGGCTGGAGCGGAGCAATGCCGTGACAGGTCCTGGAGAGTCCTGCGGAGTCCTGGAGAGTCCTGGAGAGTCCTGGAGAGTCCTGCGGGAAGGAGGGCTTGACACCGGCCGCTCCAGCGTGCTCCAGCCCCGGGCCGATTAGCTGGAATTGAAGGACGCATTAGGCTTGGCCGGCAAGCAGACGCCCCCCTCCGACTCCAGGACTCCGGCCAGTCGTCCTGGCCGCGCCGCGCCGTGCCGCTCGCCCCCTAGAGTTCGTTCGCTTTCTCTGGACACAACATCGACTCCGGTCAGGACGATCCATTAGAGCGCGGGGGTGGGGGGAAGGAGTAGGCCGGGTGACGGGTTACATACCGCTATGATGGTCCCACCCAATTGGCGCGGAGGGACCGAAGATCGACGCCCGTCGGAGCCCAATGCCCTTTTACTTCCATCTAGACTGGTAGACGGTTTCTTATCGACCGAACTCTCCTGCGAGCTGTGTCCATATTTCATTGTCAACTCCCTTGCGCCCCGCCGCCCCGCCGCCCCGCCGCCCCTCCCACCCTCGCCCCCTCCACCGCCGGCACCAAAGCAAGGGCTCCAAGGCCGGGATGGGCGGGGCGGGGCGGAGAGGGACTTGGTTATACTTGTTTTGTAGCACCACCGAAGCTTTACACCATTTCGGCCCCTTTCCCATGCGTGGCCGTGGTGGTGGTGTGGGTGGCGTGCGTGTGTTCAAGTTTCGCGGATGCCGGAAAATGTTTGCTCACCTCGTGGGGGCCGTTGGCCGTTACACACAACAAAGTGTGCTCCCAGATTTCCGCTATCCGCAACCCTACTTAATTTCGGCCACTTCGCGGGAAAGTTATCGGCAAAGTCCACTTGATGCCCTTACCCCACGCGCACGCACGCGCGCGCACCCCCTCCCCTCCCCTTTTCCTCATTGGCCGCGCTGCCCGCGCAGCCCGCGCAGTGCCTCGGCGTTACGTGCTGTAATCTGATAACGGCAGGGATGCCCGGCCGGCCCGGCCCGCGGTGCCAATTGTTTCACTTGTTGGGGCGGACGGAGCCGGCGGCACCAGCCGGAGGCATAACCTCGCCAGGTGTTAAAACTCGGGTTGAAACTCGGGTTAGGCATTGGAACCTGGGTCAGGTGGATTCAAGCCCTGTGGCCGAGTGGTCCTGAAAACCCCGCCCGGGTGGTGTTCGAACCGGGTTGTCGTGAAACCCGGTCGAGACTTGGAAACCCTGAAACCCGGGTTTGTGACGCCACTGCAATTGTCCAAGTCCGTTTGTTGCATGCGCCGGGCGTCGGCGGGCGTCGGCGTGCGGCTCTGACGTGTGCACTGGTACGCTGCGAGTACAGTGCCGCGGCGTGGCGTGGCCTGGCGCGGCCGGCCAGTCTCCGGGGCGACCTTGCACAGAGGCAGAGGGAAGTGACGGCGCCGAGCGGCCGGCCTGGCTCGGCCTGGCTGGCCTGGCCTGCTGGTTGCGTCACGGACCCAGGCCGGCGATGCAGTCTCAAAAACGCCAACGTCAAACGTCCCGGTGACCAAGCGGGCACGGGGGAATCACGTCCTGGAGTAAGTCCCGTGTCGACGCAGCGCACAGTGGGCCAGAAGACCGGCCAAAACTCCAGACGCGTTTTGAGCTCCAGACGGGCTGAATGGGACTCGAACCGAACGTGTGACCCCACCAATGGTTTCCTCGTTCGGAGAGCAATCCATTGGTGGGGTCACACGCTCGATTCGAGTCCCATTTAGCGACTCTGGAGCTCAAAACACGTCCGGGACTTGGGCCACCTCCAGCGGTCTTCTGGCCCACTGTGCCACCCCGGGCTCCTAGAACCGCGCCGTGATGTGTGACCGTGCGTGCCTCTTTCCCCGCGTCGCCGCGTCGCCGTGTCACGCCCAGGACTCATCGGTGCTTATCTCCGAGATGCATGCCCTGATCTGGGGCTCTGGGAGTACGTAGCGGTCCGGGCCGGTACGGAGCGGTGAGCCCGCTGAGCCTGGAACTCCAGGATGTGCTCCAGGACGGATCCTGGAATCCCTCCGCCAGGTTCATTCCCCGGGAATCCTTGAGGCGCGGCGGCGCGGCGGCGCGGCGGCACGTGTGGGTCCTGGTCTCACCGCCGGGCCGCCGGGCTCGGCGTCGGCAGCCTTGGCTTGACAAGGTGGCGACCCTGATCGGCCGTCGGCTTGCCGTCGGCTTGCCGGGGAACGCGAAGGCGCAACGCACTCGGCGCTGTCAGGACGTCAGGACGCCGTCAGGACGCCTTCAGCATCGAGCCGTGCTCGCTGCACCAGCAGGGTGAGCAGGGCGGGGCTCCGGGCGCGGCCCCCGCAGCCGGAAATCTTTGCTGGAAACTTCCCGGAGGACGGTCGGCAGGACGGCACGGCGCAGGGTGCGCAGGGGGTGTCGGAACAGGGCCGGGCGCAGCGCCGCCGCCGCCGCCGCCTCGGCGCGCAGGGAGTGAGGGAGAGAGAACCGCGAGCCAGAAAGAGAGCGAAAAGAACGCCGCCGCGGAGCGAGCGCGCCGGCGAGTTTGAATGAAATCAAGTCAGAAAGTGGAACGCTCCCACCGCGGTGTTGGTGGTGTTGGTACGTCCGACCACCGCGGTGGTCTCTGGCCTGGGCGCGCCAGGGCACGGCGGCCGCTCCGCTTGTCTCTATTTTCTTGTTCCTCTTCTCCTCGCCGCGGCGTGCCGCGCCGTGCCGCGCCTCGCCGTGACGGTGAGAACTCCACGACGTCCGCCTGCTTCGCCTGCTTGACGATGAGTCCCTCCTGCGCCTTATGCCCTCCAATACCGTGCGCGCCGAGGTATTCCAATGAGTCACACGCACACACACGCACGCAGGGCGCTCACAAACACACAGAGGGCACCGGCGGCAGCGGCGGGGCGCGGGTGGGGGGAGGAGAGCCCAGGGGAGAGCCGAGCGGAGCTTCTTCTTTGTTGTGAAGGATGCCCCGCGCGCGCATGAGAGAGAGAGAGAGAGAGAGAGGGGAAACAGTCGGGCGAGGAGGACGGAGAAAGAGAGGCGGAGGAAGAGGGAGTGTAGCGAGATGGAAACAGCGATAATGACGCGCGCGTTTACTTGTGCAACCAGCCACACACACACACACGCACACTCACAGTGACGTCAAAGCGGCGTCCGTCCGACCGGGCAGTGCCGTCGGTCGGACGGCGTCGTCCAGGCGCCGCGGCGCTTCGGTTTGTCACTCGAAAGAGTGCGCGTCGCGCTGGTCGCGCTACCCGGCGTCGCGCTTCGCCCTCATCGGCCATCGATTACACGACAAGGAGGAGGGGAGGCGGAGGGAGAGGGGAGCCGAGCCCGGTCGTAAAACATCTCCGTTGTAGCCACATATTTGTGGGGGCAAGCGGGGCGACGCACGGCGACGCGAGCCCGGCCACGGAGGGGACCACGGCGAGCACGGCGTGCTTGCAGGTCGTTGTGCAGCAGCGCCCAATAGGCGTCGCAGCGATGGGGTCCATTCGTCAGGGTCGCGTTGTGTCCTGGACGAGTGAGCGAGCGAGGCGGGGGAGGAGAGGAGGGAAGGGAGGGAGGCGGCGGGGAGGGCTAAATGCTCTCAGGCTGGCTGCCCGCTGGCTGCCTGCTGGCTGGGTGGCTGGTTCTCGCTGCTGGATATAACTCGGGCCGACGCGCCGCCAAGGAGGGCACGTCCTGCAAGGACCTGCAAGGACCTCCCGATTTTCAGTGACCCCTCCGTGTTTGTTTTCAGTATAACAACCCGGCCCAGTCGAAGGTGTGCCCCTTAGCGACATGCTGTTCATGTCTCATCCCCGGCCACGTCGTCGCCGTCTTCAAGTTCAAATCGGGCCTCGGCCGCGGTGCGGCGCCTCGGCGCCGAGGCCGAGCGATCGAGTAACATTCTGGTCGAATTTCGGCTAGCCCGCGGGCCACGTCGTGGGCCGGCCGGCGGGCAGGCTGCCGAATCGCTGCTTGTTTTCTCTTTCATCCGATCCGCCGCGTATCCGCCGCCTCCTCTGCCGAGCCGCGCCGTGGCGAGCCGCGCGCTCGTCAGGCTCGGCAGCGCTACAGACGGGGAGGGAGCGTGTGCGAGGAAGACACTGGGACTGTCTGGCGGGTCCAGAGACGTCCAGGGAAGGGGGGCAGGTGCCAGCATCTTTACAATGCGTCGCCTACCTGGGCACGCCACGGCACGCCACGGCACGGCACCCCGACAACCTCATTGACAGCCCGTGTCCTGGCAGTGCCCTGGCAGTGCCCTGGCCATGACCCCCTCCACCGCGTACCACCGCACGACGCGCCCTCCGGGCTGGCCTACATTTAGGGGCGGGCGGCGGGGGCGGGGGCGTGGGACTGACTGTAGGGGCGGCATGGCAAGAAAGTGCCGTGTCCCCGCCCCCAGCCGCCCCCAGCCGCCGTGCCCGCCCCTTTGGAGCGTCTCTTTATTTAAGTTTAAAAGTCTCGAATTAAAGAGACGTGGCTTATCACGGCCGGCCGCGGCGGGCCGAGGTTTTGGGGTCAGTTTGGCGCCGGCGTGGCGGAGCGGCGGCGGCGCGGCCGTGGCGTTCCAGCAAGGGAGGTGCCGCCCTCACCTGTGCTTGTCACGTGGCTCGGCAGGGCCGCCAGGGCCGCCAGGACTCCGGGTTATTGGCGGAGGATGTAGTATTCAAATGGGG